CAATCCCCAGCACAGGAGGGGACAGGAGTTGGAAGCCATTTTAGACAACACAGCAAATTTCAGTCCAGCCTGGATTATGTAGTGAAACCCTATAAAACAAAACAGGCCAAGCATGGTGGTGCACACCTTTAATTCCAGCACTCAGTAGGCAGAGGCAGATGGTTCTCTGAGTTCAAGGCCTGCCTGGCCTACATAGTGAGTTCCGGGACAGCTACACAATGAGATTCTGTCTCAAACACAAACTAACAAACCAACGGGGGTGATGGAGCTTGCCTACAATTCCAACACTGAGGAGGCTTCGGGAAGAGGATGCTAGGTTTGAGTACCCTGGATTACACAGCCAATTCTGGGGCAGCCTGGGCTACCTAATAAGACCTTGTCTAAGTTAAGTAAATTAACAAACAGGAAAATAGTGGTTTGGAATTTCCAAGTGAAGGTGCCTGGTTCTGTCTGTCCTGATTTCATGAAGTACTGATCCGGGGGGGGACAGGGGAATTTCAAGGTTGTGCTCGCTAATTTTATACCAGCTTTGTAGGCAGTTTTTGTCTCACCAGCCAACTCCCAAAGAACCACACAGAGATTTACATTTAACTATAAATGCTCAGCTGATCACTTAGGCTTATTACCAACTAGCTCTTACAACTTAAATTAACCCATATTTACATGCTGGCACGTGGCTCGTGGCTCGTTACCTCACCTTCTACAGGTCGTGCTTCCTCTGTGTCTGACCAGCAGCTCCACCCTTTTTCTAGGAGTTCTCTCTGTCTGACTCTTCTGCCTAGTTATCGGCCACTTAGCTCTTTATTAAACCAATGAGAGCAACACATCTTCATAGTGTACAAAAAGATTTTTCTATAACACAACTTGAATAGGCTATGGTCGCCCAACAGGAAGGAACCCCAATTGAAAAAAAAATGCTTCCATAAGATCCAGCTTAAGGCATTTTATTAATTAGCCTTAATGTGGGTCATGCCATCCCTGGGATGGTGGCTCTGGGTTCTATAAGAAATCAGGCTGATCAAACCTGCAAGGAGCAACCTTCCCATGGCCTCTGCATCAGCTCCTGCCTCCAGGTTCCTGCCCTGTTAGAGTTCCTGCCTGACTTCCTTCACTGATGGACAATGATGTGGAAGTGAAAGCCAAATAAACCCTTTCCTCCCCAACTTGCTTTTGGTCATGTGTTTCGTCGCAGTGATAGAAACCCTAAGACAAAGGTGTTATGGAAGATTTCCTAGGCGGCCAGGACAGCAGGATTGTAAACCTCAGTGAAGATAAATGGGAGGAGATGAGCTGAGAAGTCAAACACTGAGCGGCGTGTAAATATTCAAGAACAGGGAGGCATGGCTCATCCACTTCAACATGAAGTCAAAGGACGGATGGAGTCTTTTGGTGCAGAAAAATGGGTAAAAAAAAGTAAAGAGTATGTCTATAATGGTAAAATAATATAACAATAAAAATAATTCTTTAGCCAGGCGGTGGTGGTGCATGCCTTTAATCCTAGCACTCGGGAGGCAGAGGCAGGTGGGTCTCTGTGGGTTCGAGGCCAGCCTGGTCTACAGAGTGAGTTCCAGGACAGCCAGAAGAAACTCTTGTCTCGAAAAACCAAAAATAAATAAAATAAAATAAATTATTTTAAAATTGTTTTTTTTTAGGCAGGGTCTCATTACAGCCCAAATTGGCCTTGAATTTAACATGCAATGTAGCCCAAGTTGACCTCTAATTCATGATCCTACTGCCTCAGTCAGCCTCATCTTTGCTGGGGTCACAAGGATGTACCACCGTGCCTAACTAGAAATTCGAAGTACCTATTGCACACCCAGGTCAGAAACCCTGGCGTCAGCGGGGCGATGGTGGCGCACGCCTTTAATCCCAGCACTTGGGAGGCAGAGGCAGGTGAATCTCTGTGAGTTCGAGGCCAGCCTGGCCTACAGAGCTAGTTCCAGGACAGGCTCCAAAGCCACAGAGAAACCCTGTCTTGAAAAACAAAAACAACAACAACAACAAAAAAAGAAACCCTGGCGTCTCACACCTAAAGGTTCTGGGGTGAGTATCTGAGAGCGGAAGGGATGATCTTCATGAACCCCCAAGTGTGGGGAGCTCCTCCTCCTTCTGCAGCCTCCATTTTGTAAACTGCGGGGCCTTCTCCGCCTCAGAACATGGCTGTCGACTGCCCTCTGCTGGCCAGTTCTTCTTCTGGTGCTCCAGAATTTTAATCCGAAAGCATGCAAAAAAAAAAAAAAAAAAAAAAGGGTAGGGGTGGGGGAGAATTCTGCTAATTACTGTGCTAAGTCTTTGATCACAACTGTGTTTAAAGCCTTGCTGAAGAGATTTCACAAACGAAAAACAACAAGGCAAAACCAAAACCACCCTAACTCTCAGGACACCCACAGTCTAGTTGGAATGAAGACGAAAACATAGCAAGGGAAAGGACTTGGCAGAAGAATGACTTCCTGTACGGTTTAGCGTGGAGGATGGGATGAGCAGCAGGTGGTCAGGAAGGCTTTGGTTTTCATGGTTTTAAGACAGGGTCTGTAGCAGATGATTTGGAACTTCCGATGCCCCCATCACACCCAGTTCATGTAGTTCTAGGCTCCACATATTCTAGTACTCAACCAGCTGAGCTGAGTCTCTAGTCAGTGCAACTCAGCCTGACCTTGAACCGACAGCAATCTTCCTCCTCGTCTTCCGAAGTGCTGGGATTGTGCACCAGAGAGAAGTCACCTCCAACCGAGGAGACGGAGGACAGTAAGGGTGAGGGAGAGCGTGTCAACACAAAACAGCCGGGACAGGGCCAGATGACCCACAAGGCCAGACGACCAGGGGATGGAGTGCAGTAAAAACCTGCTAAGAGTGGTTAAGAGTCAGGTCACGCCACACAAGCAGCTGTGGCAGGGGTTAAGGTTAGTGGCTGTGTGGCTACTCCAATATACCCAAACATATAAATATATAAACAGCTCCTCAGAGGTAGACAGGGTGGTGTGGGACTTCCCTCTCTATGCTGTGATTAAAGAAACTGCTTTGGACCTATAGGAGGGCAGAACTTAGCTAGGTGGGAAAACCTAAGGTGAATCCTGGGAGGAAGAAGGGCAGAGTCAGAGAGAAGCCATGTAGCCCCACCAGGGACAGACGCCGGTTGGAATCTTGCCAGTAAGCCACAGCCATGTGGTGATACACAGATTACTAGAAATGGGTTAAATTAAGATATAAGAGTTAGCCAATAAGAAGTTAGAGCTAATGGGCCAAGCAGTGATTTAAATAATACAGTTTCTATGTTATTATTTCTGGGCTAAGTGGTCGGGAACTAACTAGCGGCCTTATTCATGTAGCTTGGCTGTCCTGGAACTCGCTCTGTAGACCACGCTGGCCTTGAACTCCCAAAGATCCTCCTGCCTCTGCCTTCTGAGTGCTAGATTAAAGGCGTGCACCAACCTACTACAGCTTCTCAAAGAGTGACAAGCAGTAGAACCTCCTTGCACTGCATCCTTGAGAAAACTTGGCTGATTTAGAAGGCAGAACCAATAGAATTTGTTACACAAGAAGAGATTCCTTGCAAAGTGGGTATGACGGCTCAAACATGTCATCTTAAACAGTCAGGGGACGGAGATAGAAGGACTGCCTTGATCTCAGTCCACCCTGGGCTACAGTGAAACTCTCTCAAAAAGCAAACGAATAAAAAGATTCCTGGTACGCAAATTATTGTTGATGGAAGGACGACAGGTTCCAGCTGGAACGACTCAGCGCAAGTGGAACTGAAGGAATGCGGACATTTGGTGATGGGGAGGCAGCGGAACCGTGTTTAAAAGGGTGCGGGGAAGCAGTGGGAAACCAGCACAAATACAAGAAGGCTCCATGAATTCTCAGAGCTCCTTCTTGGAGAAGATTTTGCAATGCAGGAAATGAGATAAAGCAAGAACAAGGTTTCCAAGAATTGGGGGCAGTGAAAGGTAAGAGGTTGAGAAAGGATGAGTTCTTAGCTTGGTTAATGTCCATAAAGATTTGAACCTGTTTCTGTTACCTAATAAATATTGCATACCAAGTTATCATCTCAGTCGTGGGATCTACAGCGCTCAAGTTTCAATAGGCCTCCTCCTAGGCCTGATCATAAATTTTGGAGATACCCTCTTTTTCTAGAAATTTCAGGAAATTTTGATTATCATTGCACAACACCCACATACCCTAACAAAATCCTTCATTATCCCATGAGTGGTTACAGAACTCTCAAAGGGCCTAAGTATCCTAGCATCCAACACAAGTGTTCATAATTGAGTTTCTGCCACCCCAACCGAACCTACTGAAATGGTGCGACCATTTATTTTACTTCCTCGTGTAGATGAAAAGGGGAAATGAAAAAGGAACCTATCGTCACGAACAGGATTCGAACCTGTGCGGGGAAACCCCATTGGATTTCGAGTCCAACGCCTTAACCACTCGGCCACCGTGACTCCCAAAACTACGCTTCGCCGCACGCTTACAGAAAGGGACCGCTCGGGGCCGCGACCCCGTCGTGTTGGTGGCCCTGAGGCGCACACCTCGAGCCGCACCCTCCGTCTCCCGCCGCGCCCGGCAGGGTCGGGGACTCGGGGCTGGCAAGCCGATTTCTTAACCAGAGACGACTGTCAGGACCCGGAGATCACAGGAGGCCCCTGGGGTGGCGCCAGAGGGTGCTGGGTGCACCGGCCCCGCAGCGTCAGGCGCCCGTGGGCTTGGCAGAGAAATGCGAATAAGTGAAGGAAGTTTGGGAAGCGAAAGGGCTCGGAGCCTCCGGAACGTGCACGGTGCGAGCCGCTCAGGGCGACGGGGCGGGGCTCCCGGGGACCCGCGTACCCGCGGGGTGGGAGTCGAAGCCCGTTCCCGCCGCGAAACGGAGCGGGAGGCCCCGTCGCGGGCCCGGGTGCGCCGCGTCCGTCCGCTCTCGCCGCCGCCGCGTCGGGCCGCCGGCAGGGGGCGCTCGGCGGGCCGGGGCCGGCCCAGGCGGCGGGAGGCGGCGGCCGTGGCGGCGGGAGGCGGGCGGAGGAGGAGGCGGGAGCTGAGCTGAGCGGGGCGGGCGGCGGCGGGGCCCGAGCCCGAGAAGATGGCGGTGCGGAAGAAGGACGGCGGCCCCAACGTGAAGTACTACGAGGCCGCGGACACCGTGACCCAGTTCGATAACGTGCGGCTCTGGCTCGGCAAGAACTACAAGAAGGTACGCCGGCCGGGCCGCACGGGGGCCGCCCCGGGGCCGCCGGGACAAAGGGCTCGCGCTCCCCGGGGCCGGCCCACCCTCGGGCCGCCGCGCCCCTCCCCGCGGCCTCCGCGGCCTCCGCGCCCCTCCCCCACCCCGCCCCCACCGTGCCCCTCTGCGCCCTCTGCCCCCTGCTCGCGGCGGCCGGGGCGGCGGCCCGGGGCGCGACAGCCGTCGGCCTCCCGGCTAACCGGCCCGGGACCGGCCTGCCGGGTGCCGTCGCGCGCCTCCTCTCCTCCGGTGTGCGAGCCGCGGCGCCCGCCGGAGCTCCCCGCCGAGCCAGGTACCGGCGCGGCCCAGGCCTCCCCGGTGCTGGCTTTGTGTGCGTCCGGAGACTGACGGAGAAAGCAGCGGGCGATCCAGGCGCGGAGCAGGCCGTGGGAAGGGGCTCTACCTGGGGAATCACCTGTCTCCCAGGCTCGTCCCCGCACCTCCTCGGGGGACGGGGCGTGCGAGTCCCGGGGCAGCAGCCCCTCAGCCCGGCCCAATGGCTTCACAATAAAGTCGCTCTGCCACCCAGCCTAGCATCTCTTTGGGTTTGAGGTCCAGAGGCTGGGATAAGCTTCCTAGCGCTAGACCCCACCCCCACCCCGTAACTGGAAATAATAGAGGTGGTGAACAAAAGGGTTCAGAAGCCCTTACCTGTCTTTTTTCTCTCTTTTGTACACAAATCTCATTCTCGTGTCTTCATTGTCCCTAGGCCTTTTTTTTTTTTTTTTTTTTTTTTTTTTTTTTTTTTTT